CCCTGCGCCTGACTGAGTTTGCCCAAGCAGGCACTTTAGACAACTGAGCTATCCCACCAGTCCCAAAAGGGTGTTTTCCCCCTTCCCTCTTTCAAAAATATTTTCATTAGTATCTGTGATATTATTTTTTCTCATGTTATTGCAGTAACACTGATCTCATAAAATGAATCGAGAAGAGATTTTTCCTCATCTATTTTTCTTCTTTTTTATTCCCTGCTTTTCTGAAAGAGTTCATCCTTTCTCCTTTCCTTTTCTTCTCAGTACTGAAGACTGAAGTAGGGCTTTAGTAAGCTAAGCTGCATCCCCAGCTGCCCTCTTTAAAATGTTAATGTTTTGAGACACAGTCCCACTCAGCTCAGAGGCTTACACACCTGCCGGGTAAGCACAAGGTCCTGAGTTTGATCCCCAATAAAAAAACAAACAAACAAAAAAAAAAGCCACTCAGTTGCACAGCCAGGCTGGGCTTGAACTTATAGTCCTCCTGCTACAGCTTCCCAGAGTTCTGGGACCCTAGGCATGTGCCACCATGCCAGGCTAGGGAGGAAATTATTTTTTTTTTTAATTTTTTCTTAAATTTATTTGTGTGTGTGTGTGTGTGTGTGTGTGTGTGTGGCCAGCTCAGCCCACCAGGGGGCGGGGCTGGCTGGCATGTGGTGCTGGGGGATTGAACCGTGGTCCCTGGGCTTTGCTTAGCTTAGCTTGTTCTAAGTAGGTGCTTTAGACCACTGAGCCATCTCACCAGCCCAGGAGGAAATTATTATTATCATTATTTGAATGCATTTAGTAGGAGCTGGGGAGATGGCTCAGTAGAATAAGCACTTCCCTGGCAAGCACAAGGGTCTGAGTTCAATCCCTGGTTCTGGGGAAAAAAAAAAAAAAAAAAAAGCATTTAGTACAGGGGATGCAGGGTCTCACCATGTAGATCAGACTCATAGTGATCCTCCTGTTTTCAGCCCCCGAAGCGCTGGGATTACAGGCGCGCGCCACCATGCCCAGTCTCAATCGCTGTCTCAGTGTGCCCTATCATGGCAAGCCAGGGATCGAACCCTGGCCACTGAGCTCTGCCTAAGCAGGCGCTTTAGTCCACTGAGCTATCAGGCCAGCTCTTAGGGAGGTAATTCAATACACTTTTTTTTTTTTTCTGTCTTTTTAAGACAGGGTCTCGGGCCAGGGAGATGGCTCAGTGGAATAAGCGCTTCCCTGGCAAGCACAAGGGCCTGAGTTCAATCCCTGGTTCTGCCAAGAAAAAAAAAAAGACAGGGTCTTGATCAGTGATGTAGAGTGTGCCTAAGGAGAGTCACATGGAAAGAAAACACTCTCTCAGGCTTTCACAGAGAGCACACTGGCCAAGCAATGACCGTGACTCATCCACATGGCTGACACTGACAAAGGATCTACAATCTGAGGTACAGGATCTCAGGATAAATCCTGAGGGGATTTCACTGACCTTCTCAGACCCAAAAGCTACAACTCTTGTTGCATAATTTCTGCTTTATCTTGGTCTTAACATCCAGCAGAAAAGTATAAAAACGAAGTATAAGAAGTAAAGCCATGCTGTTATGTTGAGCTGTAGGGGACTCAGCTTCTGAGATTGCCAGTCAAGCAGAAGACCCAATACAATTATGGACTACTGGACTATTTTGGAATATTTTGCTGAGTTCACACACCTAGAATATTTAAATGATAGAACTAAACAAAAAAAGGGGATACAGATGAATGTCCATTTTATATCTGTGTATTCAAAGTGGTTAGGATAGATATATAGTTACATTCTCTTAATGAATAGAGGGATTTGTTCTAATAGTGTTTGTAAATAGGATATCATGTCTGCATCTTGTACAGCAAATAACCATTAGGAAGACAGTATGCAATGTGTTAATTATTGAAACTGTCCTACCAATTTGATTTGAAACTATCTCATTGCTATATGTCTTTCAATAAAATTATGGGAAAAAAAAAAAGACCGGGTCTCACTACCCAGTTTAGGCTGGCCTTAAGCTTACTTTGCAGCCCAGACTGAGCTCAAACTTGTAACAATCCTCCCACCTTGGCCTCCGGAGTGCTGGGATTATGGCACAGGCGTGGGCCATCACGCCCAGCCTTACACTATTGTGTCTTCAGACAAAGCCTCACTTTTTCATTCAGGCTGCTTTCAAACTCTTGGGCTCAGGCCGGGGAGATGGCTCAGTAGGATAAGCGCTTGACTGGCAAACGCAAGGATCTGAGTTCAATCCCCGGTTTTGAAAAAAAAAAAAACAAGTAACACTTTGTAGGGGCCAGGGAGATGGCTCAGTGGAATATAGGCTTCCCTGCCAAGCGCAAGGGCCTGAGTTCAATCCCCAGTTCCGCAAAAAAGGAAAAAAAAAAAAAAAAAAAGGCAAGTTTCAAACTCCTGGGCTCCAATGATCCTCCTGCTTCAGCCTCCAGAGTAGCTGGGATGACAAGTGTGTGCCATTGTACTACTGCACTGCACTATTTTTTTTTTTTTCCAGAACCGGGGATTGAACTCAGGCCCTTGAGCTTGCTAGGTAAACGCTTATCCTACTGAGCCATTCCCCCGACACCTGCACTGCATTAGTATTATCATCTTTTTTTTTTTTTTTTTTTTTTTTTCAGGTACCAAGAGCTTTCCAGGAAGGTGCTGCACCACTGAGTGACATCCTTAGTACCCTCTGCACTCTTACTATTGATTTGTGCATGCAAAGGCCATTTGTGTACTGCAGATGAAGTCCCCGTCCCCTGAAGTCCCCGTCCACCCCTCCCCCCACTTCCCTTGGGGATTGGGAGTGAACTCTGTTCTATGTTTGCACTTTGACTGTGACAATCTTGTTACATAAGGTTGATCACAGATTATTCACTTGTAGCATTCTGCTGATGCCCTTTGGATCTGGGTAATTTTAATTTGTGATGCCGGGGTAGTCAAGCTTTCTATACTCTTAAGGGGTTCTTTTCTCTTTTGCAGCACTTGGAATTTTTTTTTTTTTTTCCCAGAGCTGGGAATTGAACTCTGGTCCTTGCGTTTGCCAAGCAAACACTTATTCAACTGAGCTATCTCCCCAGCCCCCGCAGCAGTTGGAATTGAGCCCAGAGCCTTTGCGCTGAGCTTTATGCTCTCAGCCCTCTTTTACTTTTTTTAGAGACAGGGTCTTGCTGTGTAGCCCAGGCTGGCCTCCAACTCACAGCAACCCTCTGGCCTCAGCCTCTTGAGTGCTGGGATCACAGGTGTGCGCCACCACACCTAGCAGGAATCTTGTTTTTTTATAGATCAGAGTTCAGCTGCACAGACCCAAAAGGAAGCTACCCCATCAGGGGAGGTGAGGACTTCGGGGTTCCCTCCTGTTGACTGGGCAGCCTGGCTGATGAGGCGGCAGGTGGCTCTCTGGGGCTGGCAGCAAGCACATACACCCTTACCCTGGTGCGTGCGCTCCAGGGACACGGGAGACACACAGAAATGCTGCTGAGGCCGAGTCCGCTGCCTTGACCACAGTTTTGTCTTTGTCCCAGGAAGCACAGAGCAGGACTTGTGGCTTCAGAGGTGTCTGTGTGGCGGTGCCAGCCATCTTGACCTGGGAACACCTCTGCTGCTCCACAGCAAAACCCAAATCAGAGGGCCCGGAAACCGGAAGTTAGCAGATATAGTCCTGCAAAGTGTGGCTTTTTTGTCTTGGATTTTTTTTTTTTTTTTTTTTTTTTTTTGCTCCAAATGCCTTGAGGGCAGGTTTGGCTGGCTTGAGTTGTGGGAATCAAACCACAACAACTTGAGCCTGACTGCTTTGTTTGTTTGTTTTTTTGGAACCGGGGATTGAACTCTGGCCCTTGCACTTGCCATGGAAGCACTTATTCTACTGAGCCATCTTCCCGGTGCCCATTTTGGATTTTTGAGACAGGGTCTTGCTGTATAGTCCAGGTTGGCTTTGAGCTTACTAAATAATCCTGGTTAGTTTGGAACACAGAGATCCTCTTGCCTGAGCCTCCTGAGTGCTGGGATTACAGATGTACACCACCATACAGGGCTCTTGTAATTTTCTTTCTCTCTTTCTTTCTCTTTCTGCAGAACTGGGGATTGAACTCAGGCCTTTGTGCTTGCTAGGCAAGTGCTTATTCTACTGAGCTATCTTCCCAGCCTCCCTTTCTTTCTTTTCTTTTTTTTTTTCCTTTTTTTTCTTTCTGGTATTTAGGACAGGGTCTACAGGGTCTCACTATGTAGATTGGACTCGTAGTGATTCTCCTGTTTTCACCCTCCCAAGTGCTGGGATTGCAGATGCGTGCCACCAAGCCCAGTCTCAATTGCTGTCTCAGCAAGCCTCATGTGTCCCCTGCCCATGGGGTGTGCCCTGGCATCGTGACAGGACATGCAGCTGGCAGCTGGGATCGGTGCTTGTGGGGGCCACTGGAGAGACAGCTGATGTTAAACATCTGTTCACGTAAGCTACATAGCTAAGCATCAGAAGGAACAGTTGGATACTGAGGACAGGTTCCATTTTATTTTATTGGTGGGGTGGTGAGACAGGGTCTCACTCTGCAGTTCACTCTGGCCTCAAACTCACTATGATGTAGCCCAGACTGGCCTCAAACTCATATTGAACCTCCTGCCTCAGCCTCCCAAGTGCTGGGCTTACAGGTGTGCACCAGCACACCCAGCCCAAGAAAGGGTTTTAATCGCTGAGGTAAATATTTACACAACCATGGAGAGCACCCCACATGCGGCATCAGATTCCAGAGCCGCCTCCTTGGCAGGTACCTGACAGCCTCACCTGGCTGGGCGGATCGTGTGCCCTGGGCGGCGTGAGCACAGGGCTTTTATTTTTTATAGCACCCCCCAAAAAAACCAGGTTTGCAATAGAGCTCAGGCTTGACAGATAAGACCAGGGAATGGGAGAACGGCCCTGAGCTAGGAGGAGAGGAGAACCCTCCCCATCCGGGTATGGTCACCCAGGTCATACAGGTCACAGGCTGTGCTGCCAGGAGGGAGGAGGGAAGAGGGAAAAGGGAGGAGGGAGGGGCGGAGCACCCAAGAGCGCTGCCAGAGCCCCTCCCCTGCTGCCGCACTCTGAAGGCAGCAGGGACCTAGGGGCTCGGGTAAGTGCACACGTGCAGGGCTGGGTAGGCCACCAGGCTGCCACCTCTCCTGGGGCTCCGCTGCAGCTTGGGCACTTGCTCTCGGCTGGCGTTGCTATGGCTCTCGGGGGCGCGGGGGTCTGGAGCACCTGAGTTCTGCCCCTGTGCAGACAGAGAAGAGAGGCACAGTCAGGGATGCGTGGGCAGGAGGCTGAGACAGGCAGGGCTCCACCACCCCCACCCCGCCCCGGGGTTGTGGGGAAACCTGTCCCTGTCCCAGGGATAGGGTAGCTCAGGAAGGAGGAATCTAACTGGTATAGTCTTTCCCAGTCCTGGTCTCAGGCCAGTTAAGTTATATTTGTAATCCCATGGAAAAGTCGAGGACTGTTAGCACATTTCCAATCTACCACTGCCAGTGCAACCCATGGTGAGAATAAAGACACTCAGGCATATCTGTAGTTGTGGGGAGCCAGGGGGCCCCAAGTCCAGCCTCGATGATGGCTATCTGGAACAAAAGCCTGGACCCAGAGCCAAACCTGGGTTTTATTCATTGATGAAGAAGGGGGTGGCTTCAGGATGACTGACTGAGAGGAAGGCAGGAAGCAGGTGAGTGCTGTGAGCTGGGCCAGGCAGTCACCTCTGCAATATGCAGAGAGGAGATCTGCCGAAGGAGTAAGCTGCGTAGCGCCCCTGAAAGACCGCCTAACGCGTTGGGGTCGGGGCGGCAGTGCTGATGTATGATCTTTCAAGCCCTGGGAAGTCATAGCCTCTGTCTCAGAGACTCATGGGAACATCAGGGTGTGTGTGTGTGTGTGTGTGTGTGTGTCTGGGGAAACACGGCCTGCTGTCTTTTTTTTTTTTTTTAATTTTATTTATTTATTCATTGTGTGTGTGTGTGTGTGTGTGTGTGTGGCCAGCTCAGCCCACCAGGGGGCGGGGCTGGCTGGCATGTGGTGCTGGGGGGATCGAACCGCGGTCCCTGTGCTTTGCCAAGCTTGTTCCAAGTAGGTGCTTTAGACCACTGAGCCATCTCTCCAGCCCAACCTGCTGTCTTCAAAGATCACCATCAGTGCCTTGGCTGGACTGATGCACACTGTGTCAAGCCAATTGAAAGGATAAAGAAACGTCCTAGCCAGTTCTGCAGACACCATTCGGGTCATATGGAAATAGGGTCAGGCTCAGCCAAAATGGAGACAGTTGCTATTCTCTCAAGGAAAGTCGCCAGGTGGCCCTCCATAGACTGGCAAAGGGCCATCCCGGGGAGTGGAAGCAGCTGTCCACACCTGTTAGAGCAACACCTTGTCCACAACGGAGGGGACCGCCGGGCGATGGAGCTGATCTTAAGATTTATTTTTATTTATTTATTTATTTTGATCTTAAGATTTATGTGTGAGTATGAAAAGGCCATATTGGGGCTGGGGAGATGGCTCAGTAGAATAAGTGCTTGCCTGGCAAGCACAAGGGCCTGAGTTCAATCCCCAGTTCTGAAAAGAAGAAAAAGAAAAGGCCATACTGAAACCCAGTATTCTGCAAAAATAATAGGCACTAATAAATTTAAAAAATAAATAATCTGGGGCTGGTGAGATGGCTCAGTGGTCTAAAGCACCTACTTAGAACAAGCTAAGCTAAGCAAAGCACAGGGACCACGGTTCAATCCCCCAGCACCACATGCCTGCCAGCCCTGCCCCCTGGTGGGCTGAGCTGGCCACACACACAAAATAAACAAATAAATAAATAAATAAATAAATATTTTTTAAAAAAATAAATAAATAATCGATAGGGGCCAGGGAAATAGCTCAGCAGAATAGGTGCTTGCCTGGCAACCTCAAGCAAGGTCCTGAGTTCAATCCCTGGTACCACAAAAAAAAAAAAAAAAAAAAAAGAAGAAAGAAAGAAATGATCCACTAGAAAGGTTAAGAAAATAAAATAGGGCTGGTGAGATGGCTCAGTGGTCTAAAGCACCTACTTAGAACAAACTAAGCTAAGCAAAGCACAGGGACTGTGGTTCAATTCCCAGCACCACATGCCAGCCAGCCCCGCCCCCTGGTGGGCTGAGCTGGCCACACACACACAAAATACATAAATAAATAAATAAATCTAAAAAAATAAAAAAAAAAAGAAAAGAAAATAAACATAAATGTGTGGATGGGGGCCGGGGAGATGGCTCAGTAGAATAAGCGCTTCCTGGCAAGCACAAGGGCCTGAGTTCAATCCCTGATTCTGCCAAAAAAAAAAAAAAAAATACATAAATAAATACATAATTGTGTTGGGGCTGGAGAGATGGCTCAGTGGTCTAAAGCACCTACTTGAAACAAGCTTGGCAAAGCACAGGGACCGCGGTTCGATCCCCAGCACCACATGCCAGCCAGACCCGCCCCCTGGTGGGCTGAGCTGGCCACACACACACACAATAAATAGATGTAATAAATAAAAATAAATAAATATTTAAAAAAAAATAAAAAAAATAAATACATAATTGTGTGGATGGTATTTGTAGCATACCTATACAGTATGTTGTTGATTTTTTATTTTTTTGAGACAGGGTCTCACTATGCAGCCCAGGCTGGCCTTGTGCTCACAGCGACCCCCCTCCTCAGCGAGTACTGCTATGACAGGCACGGGCCACCATGCTGGGCTGATGGCAGTGACAGCTGTACCTGTTGTCCTCGCTCCTTGTCCTTTGGCAGGATCAGCGGAGGCACTGGCTGGCCCAGGGCAGCATCACTGTCTCTTCCACCACACAACGGTGTCTGCAATACCGGTATGCAGCCTCACTCAGTTTCCTATGAGAGCGCTGGGATTGTACTGAACACACAGTGCACACAAACTGTTCACGCCCACCGACACCCCAACTCCAAGAGAAAGTCAAGACACAAATGAGTGACAATTCAAAGGGGAGGCGGAAAGGGGACAGGCACAGTGCTGCACAACTCCCAGCACTCCGGAGGCTGAGGCAGGAGGATCGCTGCAAATCTGAGCCCACCTTGGGCTACAAAGCGAGTTCAAGGCTGGCCTGAGCCACATAGTGAGACAGCCTCACACCTGTCCCCCAGGAAAGCAGGGCAAGGGGCTCACGTCTAATGGGTGCCCACCTGCAGCTACCTTAGAGCTTCAGCGCTAACGCTCGCGTGCATGTCCGGGTGCAGGGATCTCTGCCCCGAATTTTCAGATGCAGAAACTTGAGCTCTGTGCTGCTGAAGTAACTCACAGAATACCAGCCAAGGGGCCGGGGAGATTGCTCAGTGGAATAAGCGCTTCCCTGGCAAGCGCAAGGACCTGAGTTCAATCTCTGGTTCCAACAAAAAAGAATACCAGCTGAGCAATCTTACTAGCAATACTGCAACAGGAGTGTGCCCAAGTCCACTGTGTTCCCCAGTTGTTTTGTTTGTTTGAGATGGGGTCTCAGTAAGTATTCCAGGCTGGCCTTGAACTCACTATGAAACCGAGGCCGGCTTCCAACTCTTGGTGATCCTCCTGCCTCGGCTTCCCAAGGGCTGAGATCAGGGGCCTGTACTGCCACACCCAGCATTTTCCTTTTTGGAGGACATATAATGCATGTACATGGTGAGACAGCTCCAGGATGGGGCCCCAATCTAGACGGGAAAGTCATCCTGGCTTCAGATCCTCATACGCTGAGCCTAAGGCTGATTCTAAGCCATATTTCTAACAATTTCATGTGTAAAACAAGTTCCATGGTATGGAACTTTTCACCGGTCCTGTGACTCCTGTCCTCCACAAGTTTGGATTCTGCAGCACCCTAGTTCCATACCAGGGCTGCAGCTGGAACTGGAAGCTGACTCTGGAGCTCGTGCCCCAGCGGGAGGACCAGGAGGGCGTTGTCTGCAGGCCCAGCCCAGCGTGAAGGGACTTACTTGTGTGGCTGCTAACCGCAGGGGCCCTCTACCCCGGCTTTCTACCCTCTCCAGTTACTATGCTACCAAACCATAGTAAACCATATTTCTAACAATTTCCTTGTCAGTACTGTGCACTGAGCCCAGGCCCACTGCACTGAACTACATCCCCAGCCCCTTATGGTTTTTAAACTTTGAGACAGGGTCTCACCAAATTGCTAAATTGCTCAGACTGGGCTCAAACTTAGGTTCTTCCTGCCTTAGCCTCTGATGCTGCTGAGGTTGCAGATGTGCACTTCAGTCCCAAAGCTTTTTCTCTGTGTGTGTCTGTAACCTTTTTAAGATAGGGTTTCACTACACATTTGTAGCTTAGGCTGAACTCAAACTTTTAGCAATCCTCCTGCCTCAGCCTCCCCATGGATGGGATGACAGGCTCCCAGCTTCCCAAAGCTATTTCTTTTCTTTCCTTTTTTAAGACAGTCTCGCTATGCGGTTCAGGCTGGCCTTGAGCTCCCTTTCTAGCCTTGGCTGGTTTTTTTTTTTTTTTTTTTGGCGGGACCAGGGATTGAACTCAGGCTCTTGCGCTTGCCAGGGAAGCACTTATTCCACCGAGCCATCTTCCTGGCCCCCTTGGCTGGTCTTAAACTTGCAAGGATCCTCCTGCCTCAGCCCCAAGTGCTAGGATGAGCCACCATTCCCAACTCCAAAGCCCTTCCTTCCTTCCTTCTTTTCTTTCTTTCTGTAATGTAGTACATGGTCTACAGGATCTCACTATGTAGATTAGACTCATAATGATCCTTCTGTTTTCAGCCTCCCAAGCACTGGGATTACAGGTGTGCACCACCACACCCAGTCTCAATCCCCCTCTCAGCATGCCCTGGGGGAAGGACTGGTACAGCACGCTAGGGATTGAACCCCAGCAGCTGCACTCTGCCTAAACAGGTGCTTTAGTCTGCTGAGCTATCTGGCTGGCCCTTCCAAAGCCATTTCTTAGGTAAAAGTACCAAGGATTCACAGCCACAAAGCTCCAAGGGGCCGATCATTTCCTGGATATCCCTTCTGCTCTCCCTCTACTCCGTGATGCAAATTCCAGGTCTCCTTATCACCCGTGCAAGAAGCACAGGGCAGGCCCTGGGGTCACAGGAGTGCCATGAAGCCTAATGCAGCCTCCTGGTGTCCTTGATATGCAGCCATGAAGCTCCAGCATCTGTCACCCAGAGGGAATGCAGAGACACTGACAGCGTCCTGTGAAGCCACTACCTGGCGGAGTCCTGGATTCTCCTGTGTCCCTGCCGAAGACCTGGAGCTCTCCGGGTGTTTAGGAAAGGCTGGCTGCTTCTGCAGGGTGGTGGCGACGTGCGCCCTCACCTAGGAGCATGGGTGTATGGACAGGCTTTGCACGGAGCCCTTGGTGAGACTCCCCCCCAAGGGCTTCCATCTTTGAAAGCAGGGGCTGGTCACCTGTTACCTAGCCACCAGCCTCTCTCCTCGGCCACCTGGCCTTGGTTGAGCCTACCTTGTCCTGCCCCTCTCCTCTCTGGTCCCCTCCGGGAGAGGAATCCAGGCCTTTTCCAGGACCCTCTCCTGTGGCCTGGAGCTCCTTGGTCAAGCGCTCACTCCGATACTGCTCATTCCGCTGCTGTCTGGTCTGCAGTGGCTTCTTTTTCTTCTTCTCAGGCATCTTCATTTTTTGATTCACCTGTTCCAGAAAGTCCAAGGAAACAGGTCGCCGAAGGCCCCAGACCATTCACTCTTGGCAGTGGGGACCAACACCAGGGCTCCCCCATGAAGGCCCCTGGTTCCCGGATGTTCTGCGGCTCTCTCCACACTTGGACCTGCCTCCTAACTCTCTAGAAGTATTAGGAATTTCCCTCCAATCCTCAGGCTTCAACTGTATTTAACACAGGGCCTATGGGGTCTCACTACACAGACTGGACTTGTAGTGATCCTCCTGTTTTCAGCCTCCCAAGCACTGGGATTACAGGTGCATGCCCAGTCTCAGTCACTGTCTCAGCACTCCCCAGGGGAAGGGAATCAAACCCAGGTCCCTGCATCTGCCTAAGCAGGTGCTTTAAAACATTGAGCTATCCGGCCAGCCCCCTATTTCTATTTTGATACAGGGTGGATAAATTTCACAGGCAGGGCTAGAACTGGACCTGCCTGCCTCAGCCTCCCAGGGTGCTGGGATGACATGCGTGTACCCACCCCCAGCTCAAGGGCACCATATTATTTATTATATATTTGGTGCTAGGTCTCACTACACATCTCAGACTTGTAGTAAATCTCCTGTTTCAGCCTCCCCAGCACTGGGATTACAGGCATGTGCCACCACACCCAGACTCGATGGCTGGCTCAGCGTATCTGGGGTTGGGGCTGGCACATGTGGTATCTGGGATTGAACCCTTGGCCCTGCATTTGCCCATGCAGACGCTTAGCCCCCTGAGCTACCTCACCAGCCCTGGTCACCGTATCTTTATGGCTGTAATCTCACCTCCTCTGCCTTGGTCAGTAAGTGGGCGGGGAGCCCATCTGAGAGGGAGCTGTCCGAACCACTGGTGCTGTTGTAGAAGGAAAAAAACGGGATGCACTGACGCGTGCAGGAAGCAACCCCTGCCAGCTGGGGCCTGCTGGCCGCTGCGGACTGCACGGAGATGCGGTTTCCCTGCTGCTAGGCACTGAACGTGCCAGGCAAGCACTCCCACCTGAGTTCCACACCCCATTTTTATTTTTATTTTATTTTTGGCGGAATTGGGGATTGAACTCAGGCCCTTGCACTTGCCAGGCAAGCACTTATTCTACTGAGCCATCTCCCCAGCCCCACCCCCATTTTTGAGATAGGCTGGCTTCAAACTCCTGCCTCAGCCTCCAGAGTAGCCAAGATTACAGGTTGTGCCACTGCCCCCAATAATTTCTAAGGATTTTTTTTTAATTTTTATTTATTTATTTATTTATTTATTATTTATTTATTTATTTTGTGTGTGGCCAGTTCAGCCCACCAGGGGGCTGGCGGGCATGTGGTGCTGGGGATTGAACCGTGGTCCCTGTGCTTAGCTTAGCTTAGTTTGTTCTAAGTAGGTGCTTTAGACCACTGAGCCATCTCACCAGCCCATTTTCTAAGGATTCTTGCCATACAGTTCGCTCGTGAACTCCGGCCCACCAGGAAGCAAGTCAGGCCCAGCAGGTGCAGACAAACGCATCGCAGCTGGCCAAGGTCAGAGCCCCAGAGGACAGCAAGGACGCAATGTCCGTGGCTCTGTCTCAGCCACTTCTGTCTGGCTATGCTCAGTTTCTACCAGGTTCATGGCAAACACAAGCTAAATACATAAACAAGCAAGCACTGGTTTCCTTTTTTTCCGTTTTTTTGAGGCAGGGTGTCGCCATGCAGTTGACTGGCTTTGAGCTCACAAATAGCCCAGGCTGGCCTTGAACTCAGGACCATCCTCCTGCCTCAGCCCCTTGAATGCTGAGAGTACAAGTGTGAGCCACTACCCCTAGTGAAAACAAGTCATTTGCATCAAGTGACATTCACAGCTCTTCTTTTACTTTCAGAAGGGTCCTGCTAAGCTGCTCAGACTGGGCTCAAACTCGCCATTCTCCTGCCGCAGCTAGTCCTGTACCTGTCCCTACAGCTGTCTAGCAGTATAGCTTTTCCCGAGAATTTAGGATGCCCATCTAGACTAATCTGAAGTGCCACTCCACAACTTGTCCTTTCTCTTCAAGGGTCAGGGAAAATGCAGCCCACCTGACACCGTCTTCCCTCGAGTCCTCGGCCACCTGTGTCATCTGACAGGGACTCAGAGCTGTGCACTGTGACGGGCTGCATACACTGGCATCCAGTCTCCAGAAACAGCCTTTCAAGGCTCCTCTGGCCTCCGCTCTCACTCCCTCGGTCTGCTCCTCTCACCAGGGAGCACCACCCAAGGCCTGCACACGGGTCCTTAAGTCCCACAGGGAGAGCTGCCACTTTAACAAATGCACGAGGGGGTCCTGGACAGTGTCTCAAGCCACGTGTGTGCCCCAACATGGAGTAAACTCAAGACCTGCTGGGCCTCCTTCTGGGAATCCTACCAGAGGCTCCCAACCTGCTTTTGGTAATTCTGCAGTCCAGGCCAGTTTTGAACTTTTGTGTCCTTCAGGTTGGCCTCAGACTTGCAACCTGCCTGCCTCTGAGTACCCGGATTACATATATGAGTCACCACACCTGGCATGATTTTTTTTTTTTTTTTTTGCGGAACCGGGGATTGAACTCAGGCCCTTCTGCTTGCCAGGGAAGCGCTTATTCTACTGAGCCATCTTGCCGGCCCCACACCTGGCTTTTGCAGTCTTTAATTCTCTTCCTTCTTTCCTTTCTTTCTGATAAAGTTTCGTTTTGTTTGGGCTGGCCTAGAACTCACGACAGAGCCCGAATGGCCTCCCGACTGGCCTTGAACTCTGGGTGATTCCCCTGCCTCAGCCTCCCAAGTGCTGGGTTATAGGTCTGGCCACCACAACGGTCTCGGTCGCTGTGCAGCTAAGCGGACTAACGGGCTGCTCAGAGGAGGCTCCGGCGCGGAGCCGGCTGTTTCTGAGCGGGGCCGGGCTGTGAGCGCCACGTGGAGCGCCCCCCCCATTCCCCGGTACCGGGAACTGAACGCGTGAGCTCATGCTTGCCAGGCGCTGAGCCGCTGAGCTAAATCCCCGGACCTCGGGTGTGGGCTTGACAACCAGAAGGAAAACTTAGCGAGACTTCCTGAAAGGGCACTCCTAGAAGTCAAAGGCGACTGTGCCTGGCCGTTCGCGGTCCCCACCCTCCATCTGCAATCTGGAAGCCGCCTCGCGGCCCTACCCAACAGACCCGAGACTGGGAGCGGCCATGCCGGCAGGGAAAAGACGACGACGAGTTGTCAATCACAAGATCTCCTGGGCAACGCGAGGACCCGTATGTAGAGCTTCTCGGGAACTCTCGCGAGATGTGGACGGCCTTTAGAAAACCAGTGGCCCGGCCGCAAAGGTGCTAGCTATGAGTTTCTTTTCTTTTCTATTTTTTTGCGGAACCAGGGATTGAACTCAGGCCCTTGTGCTTGCCAGGCAAGCGCTTATTCTACTGAGCCTTCTCCTCGGCCCCTAGCTATGGGTTTCTAAAGGAGCTCGTCGCGGGTGAACTTTTACTTTTGTCTTTAGGCTCTTTTCCTCCTTGTCCCGCCTAGGTTGCTCTGAGGGGCTGATTTCTTCTATATGCATTCACACCGCACTTTTAAGATAAACTTTTGGTGCCGGTTTTGGTTTGTCTCGTTCAATCCTTTGTTCCAGAGGAGCAGCACCTGGAGTACTTCTCCCCCGCCCCCCAACCGGGGATTGAACTCAGGCCCTTGCGCTTGCCATGGAAGTGCTTATTCCACTGAGCCATCTCCCCGGCCCCATGGAGCACTTTTGGTGGCGAGCTGGGCCTTTACTAAGTAAAGAACCCCGACCGCAGGTCTGGGGTGGGAACCCCTAAGAAGTCCAGCTCATGTCGTGTGGCTATGGTCTTTTGTCACTTCTAGGTTCTGTGCCTAGCCGCAGGAGGCTGAGGGGCCAGCATAGGCAGATGTCCCAAATTCGGACGAACACCGTTGAGCACGAGGGCGAACAAAACTACAAATTAGGACAATAGGCCGCCCTGGGGGCCCATTCCTGTCATCCCAGCACTTGGGAGGCAGAGGCAGGAGAATCAAACAAAACAAAACACCAAAGAAGGCCTGGAGGTATAGCTCAATAGTAGCTTGCCCCTGTGTACAAGGCCCTCGGTTCAAAAAAAAAAAAAAAAGAGGATTTTTGTTATAAAATTTCTTGGTTGGATGCCAGCCTAGAGTATATAATGAGACTGTGTCTCAAAAAAACAAAGCAGGGGGCCGGGGAGAAGGCTCAGTTGAATAAGCACTTGCCTGGCAAACACAAGTGCCTGAGTTCAATCCCCTGTTCAAAAAAAAAAGCAGCAAATAAAATCCACTGATTCTTCCTTAAAACTAATTTTCTTTTCTTCTTCTTTTTTTTTTTTTTTTTTTTTGGCAGAACCGGGAATTGAACCCAGGCCCTTGCACTTGCCAGGCAAGCACTTATTCTACTGAGCCATCTCCCCGGCCCCGAAATGAAGTTTCTTACCTGGATTCAATGTCAGATAAATGGATGTCCCTCCAACTTTCTTCTACATTCATATCTTGTCCAAGCTCATTGAGTTTCTTATGGATTTCCTGGTTTACAAGCTCTGTAAGCTCTGCTAGACACTGAGTGAACTGTTGGAGTGAAGAGCAGAACTACTTTTGATATGTGTTTATGTAGTCATCAAATATCAAGGACAAGCAAACCCAAAAAACAACCAAAAAAGTCAGGCATGGTGGTGCACACCTGTAATCCCAGCACTTTGGGAAGCTGAGGCAGGAGGAATGCTGGGAGTTGAGCCCAGCCCAGATTACACAATAAAACCCTGACTCAAAACACCCAAAAAAGCACTGAATAGATGCTGCAAGGCTTGAAGCTAGTTGCTGGGAACAGACAGAAGCAGAACCCCGTCACTAAGGGTGCATCCACAGGTAGTTGTTCTGATTCAGGGCATAGCTCAATGGGAAGCACCTGTAGGGCTGTGCAAGGTCCTGGATTCAAATCTTGGGGTCCCAACTGGCCACACTGGGGCACTCAGATTTTCTTTTGTGACAAGAAATCCAGGGAAACCTGAAGAATTAAAGCTCGTGTAGAATCCTGGCTGCCCCAGTCCTGTGGAACTGATCACATTTTCCCCCACCTCCACCCCCCCCAAACCAGGGATTGAACTCAGGCCCTTGCACTTGCCAGGGAAGCGCTTATTCTACTGAGCCATCTCCCCAGCCCCCTGATCACATTCTTGAAGCCTGTTTTACCTTGGTTTGGTCAGGGTCACAGAAGTCCAGGAGGGTGTCACAGAAGAGATGTCCCAGAGCCTTAAGGTCCTCTGTGGTGAGGTGAGTGTCTCTTCTACTGCCTGCACAAGAAATACTTGTCATGGGGGCTGGAGAGATGGCTCAGTGGTCTAAAGCACCTACTTAGAACAAGCTTGGCAAGGCACAGGGACCGCGGTTCAATCCCCCAGCACCACATGCCAGCCAGCCCCGCCCCCTGGTGGGCTGAGCTGGCCACACACACACACACACACACCACACACACTCTCTCTCTCTCTCTCTCTCTCTCTCTCTCTCTCTCTCTCTCTCTCTCAAATAAATAAAAATAAAAAAAAATTAAAAAAAAAAAAAAAAAGAAATACTTGTCATGTCTAGGAAATCACTGTGTGGGGATTTTTTTTGAGGTGGGGTCTCGCTGCGTAGCCCAGGCTACCCTTAAATTTGTGGCAGACCTGCTGCTGGGATTACAGATGTGTGTGCTCCATGCCCGGCAGTAGAATCTTTGTCAATAAACAACATTTTCTTTTTCCTTTTGGTGGAACCGGGAATTGAACTCAGGGAAGCACTATCTCCCTGGCCCCCAGCATTTTCACAGTGGCTGTCATTGCTGTGGTTTACCTTGTGGCAGGCCCCAGGGTGACAGGGGCCATTCACACCACCTTCCTGAGCAGCCTGTCATTGTCATGGAGCTTGACATTGTCAGTTAAAGGAAAACTAGGTTCAGAGAGGCCAAGGAATTCTCTCAGCTTAGAATTCCACCTGCATCTGCCGGATCCAGACCCTGAGCATGCCCTAGGTTGGACCTTGCCGTCTCATCCAGCCCAGATGCCCATGGGGCTCCCCAGTGCACCCAGCCCAGAGCGCCCCAGCCCCGCCCGCGCCCCACTCCTCTCTCCAGCTGCAGCAGGCCCAGCACCTCAGACCCAGAGCAGGAAGGGTGTGACTCACCCAGCGTGGAGCCCCCAAAGGTGGACTCCAGGGTGTAGCTGTTGCGGATGCCCATGCGCCACATCACCACGCGGCCTGTGCCCTCTCTGCTCTTCTGGACTTTAAAATTGCAACTGTGAAAAGAGAACTGAAGAAAACCCCAACCACACTGTCGCTACACTCACTTGGTGAAAGGAAGACATCTAAGATTCACGGCTACACAGCAAGACGGTTTCCTTGCTGTTCTACATGGGGTGGCCTTCTTCCTAAAGCGTGTTCCGTGAGACACAGATTCTGAGAGGTGTGGATGGCCAAGGGGGAGCATGCCTGTTGCCCTCTCAGCATGGGAGGCTGAGGTACAAGCAGCTCTGTGAGTTCAAGGCCAGCCTGGACTAGAGTGAGACCCTGTCTCAGGAAATAACTGAAGCTGAGCCCAACGCTGCCAGGAGGCAGCCAGGCCTGGCTCCACGTCAGGGCTCACCTTGTCTGGGGCATTCTTGCTTAGCATGAGCGGGAAGACCCGCTCGTGCAGCCAGTGCCTGGGGTCGTTGCTGCTACAGCCGTACAGGAAGACGTTGTTCTTGCGGCTGTGTCCGTGGAAGTCGCAATACAAGAGAACCTCCCGTTCCTCCAGAAGTCTGTGGGGGCAAACACGGGCCTCCGTGAGCACCTGAGCACCATCGTGTTCGCCCTCTAGGTGTAGCTGTGGAGGCCTTTCCTCCCAGGAAAACTGCAACCTTACTGCGGTGCCGGGGCGCATGTATGTGATCCCAGCCCTCCCAGGCTGGGGCAGGAGGGTCCTGGGGAGTTCAAGGCCGGCCTGGGCTCCATAGCAAGCCCTTGTCTCAGAACAGCCGGCAAGCAAACCCAAAGTCCACACAGCCGTGGGTTGCACCTTTGGATCATGTTCCTGGTGTACCAGACGCAGGGGAAGGAGTCCTTCAGCAGGGTCCTGTAGTGGCGGTTCAGGTCCCGGCCGGCCAGCGAGCACCGGTGGTTCCCCACGATCACGCCGTCGGGGTTCAGCATGGGGACCACCTTGAAAACGAAGAGGTCCCGGAGGAGCTGGGCGTCAGGGGAGCCGCCCAGGATGAAGTCCAGGAAGCCGCGCATCACCCAGGAGCCGCCGCTCTCGCCCGGGTGCACCCTGGCACTCAGCACCACGGCTCGCTTGGCGGCGGCGCGGCGGGGCCGGGCGGCGGGGTTGGTGACCGTGAGCAGGTACACGGGGTTGCCCGCCAGGCTGCGGCACAGCGCGCGGAGGCGGCACACGCGAGCCCGTGCGGGGTCGCGGGCCACGGCGCGCAGGTAGCGCTGCAGGTCCGAGTAGGTGTACGGGTAGCCGTGCGCCAGGAAGCAGGTGTCGCGGTCGTGCGGGAAGCGCGCCGTCCAGGTGAGGGCGAAGCGCGGCCGCCCCTCGCCCCCAGCGCCGCGGCGGAAGTAGCGGATGTCGCTGCCCTCCCGGCGCCACCCGACCCCGTGGCGGCTCGCGTCGCGCTGCGAGTACAGCAGCGGCCGCAGCCCCGCCGCATACAGGCTCCGCGGCTTGCTCAGGTTGACGATGGTGAAGCGGTAGGGTACGCCCCGCCGGGTGTTCTGCACGCGGAAATAAAACCACTGCGTGTGCCGGTCCGTGTAGAGGTCGGGGCGCAGGGTGAGCTCGTACACGTAGGTGTCCCTGTCACGGAGAGGACCAACGGCTCTCCTGCACAGCCTCTGCCCTCCACCCCGCTGCCCTCAGCCCAGCACTCCCTTCCCTTCAAAGACAGAGCCTAGCTCAACAGAAAGCCCGGCCCGGCTGCAGCTCACGTTTGCTCTCCTTTTTTTTTTTTTTTTTGGACCGGGGATTGAACTCAGGCCCTTGAGCTTGCCAGCCAAGTACTTACTCTACTGAGCTATCTTCCCAGCCCCCTGCTCTCCTTCTTGTCTATTCATAATTTATTTTTGAGACAGTATCTCACTATGGAGATCCTCCTGCCTCACCCTCCAGAGCGCTGGGATTACAGGTGTGCACCACCATGCCTGACAAGTAGTAGATAATGCTGCAGATGACATATTTTTCCTCATACGGATTTAAGCTCTGTTTCCTACAAGCTAAAGAGATGATGCAGCTAATGGCCATTTCAGGGAGGTACAGGTCAGGCTCCCCACCCATGTTTTTGATCCAAGACACCCCCCTTCCCTCCACTCATTCCTGAGGACAGCTCCCGCCTCCGGACTCTTGGGTGACTCACACTCTCACGGCTTTTTGCAAGTTGCCACTCTCAAACCTCGACTCAAAGAGCAGCGTGTCGTCTTCTGGGCCACACAGGGACACAGCGAGCTGCTGGACGGCCCCGCGCTTGCCACCTACCCGGGAGCTGGTGAAGCAGGCATCTTCCGTGGGCACTGAAGAGGAGAGATGCCTTAGGCCAGGTTCATGCAGCCAGAAAATAGGTGCGGAGCCCCCTCCCTGCCAATACTGTTCTGGTGAAAGACAGGAATATTCAAATTTTCCTCAGACTCGAAGTGATCCTCCTGCCTCAGCCCTCCAAGTTCTGGGGTGGCAAACCTATGCAACTGTGCCTAGCATTATTTTATTTTTATATTATATTTATATTTATTTTATTTCTTGTATTTAGTACAGGGTCTGCAGGGTCTCACTACCTAGATCCAACTCATAGTGATTCTCCTGTTTTCAGCCTCCCAAGTGCTGGGATTACAGGTGAGCACCACCACACTAAATCTCAATCGCTGTCTCAGCATGCCCTGGGGGCAGGGCTGGCATGGCAAGCCATGGATCGAACGCCAGCCACTGAGTTCTTCCAAAGCAGGCGCTTTAGTCCATTGAACTATTTGGCCAGCCTGGATTATGGATTTTTTTTTTTTTTTTGGATTATGGATTTTTTTTTTCGGAACCGGGGATTGAACTCAGGCCCTTGAGCTTGCCAGGGAAGTGCTTACTCTACTGACCCATCTCCCCGGCCCCAAGATTATGGATTTTTTTTTTTTTTAAGATTATGGATTTTTGAAATCACTTTTTTTTCCTTGTAATCCCAGCCTGTAATCCTAGGAGGTTGAGGCAGGAGGATTGCTGAGAGTTTGAGGCCAACCTGAACTACACAGTCAGAGCTTGTTTCAAAAAAAACACAACACAAAATGAAAAACAGTGTTAGGGAGACTGAGGCAGGAGGATAACCATGTATTTAAGGTCAGCCTGGGTTACACAGCGAGTTCAAGGCCAGCCTGAACTACATAGTGAGACAATATTAAAAAAAAATCAAAAGAAAAAACACCTCAATTTTCTTATGGAAACAAGGGGTTTGGTAATTTTGTAAGGACAAATCCCTCACTGTGCTCCAGAGTGGTGACACTACCTGACTGTAACTGATAGACAACTGTTCCTCTCTCCTCGCCGACAATTTTGGGTACCTTTTCCTTTCCTGTTGGCTGATAGAAATATTCTGGTTCTGGTGGAATCCACTCTGGAAGAAGACATTATAAAGAGTACACAATAAGGGGCTGGGGATACAGCTCAGCGGCACAAGCGCCTGCCTGGCAAGTGCGAGGTCCTGAGACGCACCCCCCCCCCCGCAGAAAGGTGCTCTATACAATGAGAGACAATAGAAAGGACACCATTGTGACTGATAAGAAATCATAGTAATTATCAAATGACCAGCTTGGCCAAACCCAACCAGATCTCATGCACTTTCCAGCAGGTTCCTAAGTTACTTATGCCTTGTTTCCTGCCATCAACATTATGAGGATGCTTTTGACAGCATGGTGGTGTATGCCTATCATCTCAGTGCTCAGGAAGCTGAGGCAGGAGGATCACTGTGAGTTCAAGGCCCGCCTGAACTGCACCGTGAGACCCTGTCTCAAAAAGACCAAAAAAACCAAAAAACAAAAAACCCCGCTTCTAAACCAAAATAAAACAAAGACTGTGCTTATGCCAAGAGCTCACAGATACGGTTATTAATGTCATAAAATAAATGCAACCATTCCCATAAAAGACTACAGTAAACTCAAATATTAAAATCTTGGGGCTGGTGAGATGGCTCAGTGGTCTAAAGCACCTACTTAGAACAAGCTTGGCAGAGCACAGGGACCGCGGTTCAATCCCCCAGCACCCCATGCCCGCCAGCCCCGCCCCCTGGTGGGCTGAGCAGGCCACACACACACACACACACACACATAAATAAATGAATAAAATTTAAAAAGATAAAAAATAAAAAAAAATAAAATCTTTCCTGGGGGCTGGTGAGATGGCTCAGTGGTCTAGAGCACCTACTTAGAACAAACTAAAAGCACAGGGATGGCGGTTCAATCCTCCAGCACCACATGCCAGCCAGCGCCGCCCCCTGGTGGGCTGAGCTGGCCACACACACACACACACACACACACACACACACACACATAAATAAAATAAAAAATCTTTCCTGACATATATAGGCTTCACCCATTACACCTTAGCTGTGCCTATTAGGACAGAGGCAAAACCCGTAGAAAACAGCCTTAAGGATGTGAGCATCTGGGGCTCTAGGGGGCACCTGGCGGCCGCCACAGGCACAGCCAGCCAGGGCGGGTGCACCCCACTCTCCAGCCAGCCTGGCACCGCCCCCTTACCGATGTGCCGGACCTTGTCCTGGAGGACCTCACACTCAACAGGCCAGCGCGGTGCCTGCGCGGGACCCCAGCTGGAGAAGATGGGGAAGAGCTCACGGGGCTTGCGGAGCCGAGGGGCCACCCTGTCCACCTTGTCACCGTCGTGGAGGAGCTGTCTGCTCCTGACCGCTGGGGAGCTGGGTACCAGTGCCCGCGGAGCTTTGGGAGGAAGGGAGAGGCCAGGATATGAGGGGTGCTTTTCTTCCTGGGACGTGGCTGCGCATGTGTGACATGAAGTGATGTCAAGCATGGGTGTGGGGGCTGGTGAGATGGCTCAGTGGTCTAAAGCACCTACTTAGTACAAGCT